CCTATAATCCAACAGTATTCTTAATTCCAATTTTTAGGATTTCAACTCGATCCGATCACCCAAATCTAAATTATATACAATTTAGTACCATTTAGTACATATATGTATACATTTATATAACTACCTATATTATACAACCACTAGAAAACTTCTTTCCCAATTTCAGGATTTTAGTCCTTTTATTACAAATTAGTATAAATTTCCAAAACTTCTTATATACCCCAATTTTAAACCTCACCAGTGATCCTAACTCCAAAATTTCACGATTCCAGTTCCATCGGTTCCTCTAAAATCTAACTGTACCAAATTTAGTACCGTTTTTAGTACGCATTAGTATGAATTCCAAAACTTCTGACATATCCCTACATCATACAATCAATAGAAATCTTATTTCCCTATCGGTTCAAGCAAATCCAAATTGTACCAAATTTAGTACATATTACTACAAATTTCCAAAATTGCATACATATCCCAATCCTACATTCCAACAAAGATCCTAATGCCAATTTACACGTTTCCAGCTCCATCGGTTCAACCAAAATTCAAATTGTACCAAAGTTAGTACCTTTAGTACACATCAGTACGAATTTCCAAAACTACCTACATACCTCAATTCTAACTCATTTTCCACATTTCAGTGTTTACCAAAATCCAAATTGTATTGATTAAAGCACCATTTAGTACTTTTCGTACACATAAGTACAAAGTACAAACTACCTGCATATTCTAATCCTGTACTCCGACGGAAATGTTAATTTCAGAATAACAGCTTCATTCGTTTCTCTAAATTCAAATTGTATCAACTATAGTATAGTTTACTCTTTTTATAAGGATTTTTTCAAAGTTCCTCAGAAAGATTTTGACCGACCTTCATTGGTATGGAAGGCGGAATATATCGTGATGGTACCACACCATTGCTGTATTTAACGTTTTAAGGGGACCCCCCATTCTCGGGGTCAAAACGTTTTGATTTAATTCGAATCTACACTAATTCATGAATGTCCCCACAAAATTTCAAGAGAAAATCTCAAGAACTCTTGAAGCTATAGCCCATTTATTGTGTCAGCATCAAGTGACAGCTAAAGGGCTTCTCAAACTTTAAACGCGTTTTTCTCTTTTGTGAATGGCGGGCACGATAACACAAAAACTAATGACCCAATCGATTCCAAATTTTTACACGTTTCTCTGTGAGTGTATAGCTATCGTATGAACTAGGATAAAGCCAATCGGTGAAGATCTTCCTTATTTTTTAACTTGGTTTTTGGTCAAAAATCGGCGATTTTCCAAAAATATTTTTTCAAAGTTAGGCCATTTTGTTAATTTTAGAGCGAAGTCAATAATCCTAGTTCATACAAGAGACAGACATGTGCCTTTCTAACACCGTTGGAATTTTCGGATTCCGATGTTCCAGTGGGGAGTTATCATGCCCCCCAATTTAATTTTCTTTAAGATATAATTACTATATTGCCTCAATTACATTGGACTGAAGATAATCCGTAATTTATTATACAGTCCCAATTTTTTGCTTATATTAATTTATATTTACCGTTACAGACGATTGTCTGTATATATATATATCCTCCAGGGACGACGTACGCAGGGGGGCGGCCCGGGGCGCCCGGTCCCCCCGTTATGAATTTTTGTCACAGTAAATGTATGTTTGCAACAGCGAATTTTTTCATTTTGTACTACCGGGACCCACCCCCCGAAATGAAATCCTATGTACGTTGCTGATATCCTCTATATACAGTATTACATTGTCATACCTGCAATCAGTATTGTTTCTATCGGAATTTCAAAGTAAAAAGTATTTTACTTTGACATTCTTGAAAACTTTAAACAAAAAAATATTCCCAAAATCATTGTTGTCATAATACAAAACTAAGTAGTCAAATGGCGAGGCGTATGACCTTCAACTCAACACTACCATTGCTGCACTTTGCCACCATCCTTCCGCAAATGTTACTGACATTTACAAAGACCATACAGTTTTGTTTGTTTGTATATATGTGCGATACGCTATCGAAATATTATTTTGTGTCAAGGTTGGCAACATTTTCCCGCTGCATTTGCTGCTGATTTTCAAGGATATCGTATCGTGAAAGTTTCCATTTCATCGTCTTTTCATCTCACTTCAAAGATGACCTTTTTCTGATGTTTTCGTTTTCTTAAATGTTGATCAGCTTAAATGTCCTTCACTTTAGTGGAAATCTTCGAAATATGCAATTATTGTATGCATGTATGTGTGTGTGTGCTTGTGTGAGTTAATCTATTTGTGAGGGTAAATGTCTTCATGCGTGTTTGTGTGTATGCATTTGCATACACAAAGGTGTTATTTAATTTAATTATGGTATTGCATACTTTTGTGCATTTATATATAAAATTGTTTATGTGTGTGAATTTATTGTTTTTGTTTGTAGAGTATTTTCATGTTAAATATTTACCGTTAAATGAAGTGAAGGAATTAAAACACAAAAGTGTTTGGGAAAGAGAGGAAAGGAAGAAGAGAGGGGAAGACGCAGTAATCTGATTGTGTACATCATACATATGCAGGAAATGCAGGTCAAAACAATTAGTGACCTGGTGCTTTTGAAATTTCGTTAAAATTTATATAATTGACTGTGAAAAAAGGGGCTTGAAAAAATATTTTAAAAAATTCAGGCCTTCTGGGTAATTCAAAAAAAAAAAAAAAAAAATTTTAAAAATTTACGACTTTTTGGTTTTTCCATAAATGTTTTTAAAAAATTCACTACTTTTTGGATATTAAAAAAAATATATATTTTTAAACCAGTAAGGAATGTAGTAAAATCGGTCTTGGGCGGACCTTTTCAAAGGAACATTGACATAAAATTGAACGGACTTAAATATGCGATCTTTATTTATAAGTAAACCGACTAACATCAATTCCAACACATGCCATTCTGCAACCTATTCCATACTTTATAAATAGATTTAAAACAAACTATACACACGCTATTTGGTATGCTTCACTGTTTAAAATGTATCAATCAGGCACCCTTTGATTATTTGGTGTACAATCAACATGAATAGGTCTGAACCGATTTCAAAGAAAATTGGTAGATATTAATTTTTATTAATTTCAGTACGTTTTGTCAATCGACCTAGGTATGGGTCTTTAGTGCACCATTTACTTAAAATCGGATGGAAGTATATATAGAAGCTATATGTTAATCTGAACCAATTTCAAGAAAACTTGACACAAGGTTATAGTAAATTGGTCGAAAATATATATTGGAGCTATATCTAAATCTGAACCGATTTTCACGGAACTTAGCACACATCATAATAGACTCAATTTAGTACGCTATGCCAAATTTCGTGCAAATCGAAAGATATACAGGGACTTTGGTGCACCATTTACGTTAAATCGGACGAAAATATGTTTGGGAGCTATATCTACATCTGAACCGATTTTCACTAAACTTAGCACACATCATAATAGACTCAATTTAGGACGCTATGCCAAATTTCCTACAAATCGAAAGATATATAAGGACTTTGGCGCACCATTTACCTTAAATCGGAAGAAATTATATATGGGAGCTATATACAAATCTGAAACGATTTTCACTAAACTTAGCACACATCATAATAGACTCAATTTAGTACGCTATGACAAATTTCGTGCAAATCGAAAGATTTTTAGTGCCTTTGGCGCACCATTTACGTTAAATCGGACGAAAATATATATGGGAGCTATATCTAAATCTGAAACGATTTTCACGAAACTTAGCACACATCATAATAGACTCAATTTAGTGCGCTATGCCAAATTTCGTGTAAATCGAAAGATTTTAAGAGACTTTGGAGCCCCATTTACGTTAAATCGGACGAAAATATATATATGGAGGCTATATCTAAATCTGAACCGATTTTCTTCAATTTCAATAGGGTTCGTCCTTGGGCCAAAAAAGTGAGCTGTGCCAATTTTCATCCAAATCGGATCATAAATGCGACCTGTACTTTGTTTACAATTTAACATCTACATCCGGATGGACATGCATAAATCGACTCAGAAAGGCATTCTATGCATATTCTCAAGAGGAACCATGTGTCTATCTCGTTTCGACATGATACCCTGTACCACAGTGTGGTGAAGGTTATAAAAAGTCACCATTAGTTACTTTAAGGGGACCCCCCATTCTCGGAGTCAAATTTTTTTTTATTTAATTCGAATCTACACTAATTCAAGAATGTCCCTACAAAATTTCAAGTGAAAATCTCAAGAACTCTTGAAGATTTATTGTGTCCACATCAAGTGACGGCTAAAGGGCTTCTCAAACTTTAAACGCGTTTTTCTCTTTTGCGAATGGCGGGCACGATAACTCAAAAACTAATAACCCAATCAATTCCAAATTTTTACACGTTTCTCTGTGAGTGTATAGCTATCGTATGAACTAGGATAAAGCCAATCGGTGAAGATCTTCCTTATTTTTTAACTTGGTTTTTGGTAAAAAATCGGCGATTTTCCAAAAATATTTTTTCAAAGGTCCGCCATTTTGTTAATTTTAGAGCGAAGTCAATAATCCTAGTTCATACGAGAGCCAGACATGTACTCTTTCTAACACCGTTGAAATTTTCGGATTCCAATGTTCCAGTGAGGAGTTATCATGCCTGCCATCAAATATAAGGACTTTTCTTTGATCACAAAAAACAACAACAAATATTTTTTGTAAATTATTTTTCTTCCTTTTTAAATCTTCAAATATATATGTGCAAAGTTACAAACCTTAACAAGCATTGGTATTCATTTACCAGCTCATTTAAAATCTTAAAAATAAAAAATCGGTTTCCTTAAATAATAATTTAAAACTTCGTGCTGGTATATCTTTATTTAAATTGCAATTTCCATTGCCTACCCTAAGGCGCCATGAAAAAATATTTTCCCTGAATTTAAATATCTGTTTTTTATTTTTTCTATTTCTTTAATCGTTTCTCATAGATTATGTTGTTTTTTTGTTTATTTCCATTCATTACAGGTGGAGTTGGCACCGGTTGTGGCAATTTTTATTTTACAGGAAATGGTGATTTAATGACCAGTTCAGCCACTGCAGATGAGTTGGCATTAAATGCAGCTAGTTTGCAACAAAGTGTTAATCGTGCTTCTTCAACATTTTGGCAATATCCAAGTGAGTCTCTCATTTCATATTTCTTTTTGTAGAAAAATTATAAATTATCCTTTCCTTCCTTCCTTTCGTTTACAGATGCGCTTCCCATAGAATCCGTGATATCAATGTCCCCCGCTACTGTAGGTTTACAATACTCTCGTGAGGCAAGTCGTGGTCAAGTTGTTTTGTTACCAGCAACCGCAACGTCTTTAGGTATGTAGTAAGGCAGATTTACATTCATTGGCAAAATTGAAGAGTGGTGAAATAGGATGAAGGATTTGGTTTGACAAATCCTTCCTCTTTCCACAAGCTCTATCATTTGTGCTTTGTTTTCATCATCAGCTTTGAAGCTTTTTTATGAAACTTCATTTCATTATTTTTTTATGTATGACATTATGCAAACATTAAAACTAATCTGCTTAAATTCCCCGTTCTCTCTCTTCTCCCTTCAATTTACCTTTACAAACAAACAAAACAAAAAACAAATATTCTCCCTCCAACTCAAAATGCTGCCTGCCAACTTCACTCGCATCCATAACATAAATATACACTGATAAAAACCAAACATCCATCCAATCTCTCATACATCCACCACATGCCTCTATTAACATTTCACCATCCAAACACAAACCGATCACCAACCAACCTACCAACCAAATCCATCCGCTCCATCAAAAACCCAACAATCTGATATCTGAAAATCCAAATTGTCTTACAATTCATTTTATTTCACCTTTTGTTCCGCTTGTGACATTCTGTGAATATCAATGATTGCAAAAAACAAAAAAACTAAATGACCAACCAAAAGTCCAAGGATTATCAAATTCAATTCCAATTCTATGTACACCCACAGATCCCTTCCAACAGGCGGCCGCAGCGGCCTTTGTCTGGCCCTCCTATCTACCGCAGGGCACAGCACCGGCCACTTTACAACCGCCGCCCAATTTCATATTTCCCTCCATGAGTCCGCACTCGACACTGCAAGCGGCAGCAGCGGCCCAACCCTATGCTACGCCCTTGCAGTTCTTGGGCTCAAATTATCTAACAGCAGCAGCGGCGGCGGCAGCAGCTGCCGCAGCCACCTCCACATTGTGCCAGCATAATCAACAGACGAACAGTACCAGTAGTTCGATAAATTTAAGTTTAGGTGGTAGTATGGTATCGGGTGCTGCGGCTGGGACAACGCTCAGCTCCTCGTCAAGTAGTTCGTCGACAACAACACGGTTTATGAGTTTGGCCACGGCCAGCACCGGTCCGCCGGGCATTAACGATACGGGGCAGTTAATCAAAACCGCGTCGGCGACCTCTGGAAGTCAAACAACGAAAACGTTGGCACCGGCACCTGGAACACATGCCACCCTAGCATTAGCTCCAGCACCAGCCTCTTTGATGGCAGCAGCAGCATCTTCACACCCGCCGACTTTACCACCACCACCACATCCCCTACTAATACCTCCATCGGCATTGAAATTGGAAGATTGGAGTGGTGGTACCGATTTTATGGCAGCTGCGGCCTCCAAGACAACGACTACAACAATGACGGCCTCAGCAACGCTGGGAGTGTCACCAATACCGCCGCCAGCCCATTTTGATGGTCGCGACAAACAGTCGAATGGCACGAATCTGTTGGAATTACCTGCGGCGGCTTCTGCAACTCAAGCTTTAAATTTGATGCGCCTGCCCACACCACCAAGTTCGGCCACCATTGAAACGGCAGCAGCAGCTGCTGCAGCGGCGACAGTACCACCCCAATTACCACCATTACTATTTCATGCTGCAGCCGCTAATTCCTCTCCCACGCCCACTTTGCTCAATCTATCGGCTACCTTAAATCGTGTGGCTGCATCCTGTGCCAGTGTTTCGAACACCAATAGCAGCAGCACCAACACCACCACATCGCCGCAAGTTAGTGTTACCTTGGCAACAAATGCCAGTTTTCTCAGTGCCCCCAGTCATACCTCCACTACCACCCTCAGCAGCAGCAACAACAACAATCACAGCAACCCTTCACCAATCGATGGTGGTCCCCCCACACCTCTGGGCGATGATATGGCTTTGAATTTCAAATCAAATTTGGATGGATCGACGCCACCCCAAATTGTTGTGGGAGTACCATCCAGAGTTGTAAATCCTGTGCTTCCTCCCTCCTCCTCCTCGTCCGGCATTCCATCAACGACGCCGGCGGCGGCTCCACCTCAAATGCAAGATGTCAACATACAAACCGATACTCCGGTGTGCAGTGAAGATGAAAACTCCTCATGTCCTTTGAATCAATCACAGATGGGCAACAATACCACCTCTATGGAACCTTGTACCACGGCCCAGTGTACCCCTCCGCTGACACAAAACGATGAACTTTATCATGATGCAGAGGCCCAAGAGCCACTGGAACTCACCAAGACGACGACTCAACGGCCGAACACCAGCAGTCCAAGGGTGGAAAGTTCCACACAATTACCGCATCCACATGACGAAGAGGATGAAAACGCCCAAGAGGTTGAAGAAAACGTCCATGAGCAAGAACAAAGACTTGAGGCCGAGCAGGATGAATTGGAACAGCAGCAGAACTATGCACTGAAATCTTCGCTCAAGACCGATTATTCAGAGGAATTGAAAGATGCTCGGCAATGCTCTGCGACCCCAGGTCTCATAAGCAGCAGTACATCGGCGACAGCTGGGCCCATTTGTCCTGCTGTACGTCAAGAGGACTTAACCGGGCTGGAACTGTTGTCAAACATCAGTACCAGCAATCTGGTGAAAAGTGGTGCTCTACGTGTCAAACAAGAACCCTTGGATCCCATCATCGATCAAAACATGTGCCATGCTACAGCAGCAGATACCCCCTATTCCACGGTAATGGAATCAAATTCCTACAATCCACTGGATACTCAAACCACAACAACAACCACAAACTGTGACCAATTAAATTCGGGAGTTCTAAACTCCAGCCACCATGATCACTATAATCCCGCCGCCCCAACTTCGCCACATGCCCAGCAACAAATTTCTACATCACCGCCTTCTCCGCCAGTTGCTCCTCCTCCTTCATCTGTTCTTCCGCAAACAGCACAAAATGCAGGTCTTAACAACCATCTCAACCCACAAGAGGTAGAACCACTGGGTGGTCTTAAGTTGTTATGTGCTTTGGCCGAGCAACGCATACAGGAGGAAGAAGAAGTTCAAAGTAGCAGTGCAACCCTGCAGGCCACTGCCAACACAAATGGCTTCTATAGACCCGCTTCAAATGAATCGCTACACAACTTTGCTGCCTCTACCTCCAGCAGTTTCCCACAAAACTCTGCGGGTTTTGTAAAGCCAGTCTCCTCCTCCTCCAGCTTCCATACTCCGGCAGATGCACACAATTCCTCATTCCCTTCCATGGATACTCTGGAATTACCATCCACCAGTGGTAATTGTTATACGAATAACTCGGCGGAGATTCTGGAGGCCCCGGTCAAACGCAAAAAGCACAAACATTCCAAACACTCATCGAAATCCTCATCTTCCAATTCAAACGGCACCAGTGGTAGCAGCAGCAAGAAATCTCAAAAGTGCGGCAAGAAAAACAAAAAGAAATATTCCAAGGAAAAGAAACGCCATAAAATGCTGGCAGCCGCCGCAGCGGCCGGAGAGGTACAACCCAGTGACTTAGATTTCGATGATCCCCAGCTGCAGCAGGAGCTACAGAATGTCTTTCAGAATTGTGTTGATCCCAATTATCAACGTATGGGTGGCAAATGGCCCACCCCTCAGGAGATCTTTAGCAAATTGGAGAGCAGCATGCGGATGCGTTTGGCCGACATCACGCGGCAATATCGTAAAAAGAAACGCAAGCTGGATGAGATTTCGAAGAATAAGAAAAAGAAAAAATGCTCCAAATTGCAAGCCGCCACTCAACAGCTTTCCTTGGTGGGTAACTCCAGTCTCTCACTGGTAGCTGGCGGTGCGGAGCGAGCCGCGGCCACCACCACCTCATCGTTGACCTCATCACCCCTGTGTGATTATAAATTTGGTAATTTTTCCACAAAACCTTCCGGGCCAACGACGACCACCAACTATTTGGCACCCTCCAGCTTTATACGCTTTGCCACCGATCCCAGCAAGTCGGCAGGGCATCACCACCACCATAACCATCCTCAATTCCCACCACCTCCCGAAGTAGAATTAGAAAATGATAATACCACCTCCACAGCTTCCAATCCAAACAGCAGCAATAGTGCGGCAACGGCCATCTATAAGCCGTTGCGTCTGGAACCCAGTTGTCTGGCAGCAGCTGCCACAAATGATCAGCAGCAGCAACAACGTTCCAATAGCAACAACAACTCGACTGGTGTTTTGCGTGTAGCTCAAAAACATGCATCCTCGGAAAAACTTTGTCACGTTATTGTGTGTAAAGAACGGAAAGTGGGCGGCTCCCACTCCCAATCCTCAAGACGTTCCAGTGGCAATGAAGAGGACGATGACGACGAACATGGACGTCTTCACAATTCCAGCAGCGGCAGCAGCAGTGATAATCATAATGGTCACCGTTCGATATCAACCGACAATGAACAGCAACATCAATCCAGTAAATCCACCACCTCATCATCGACATGTTCGTCATCCGCCAGCGCTGGACGTAAAATGAATCCAATCGATCGTACATTGATGTTGACTCAGGATCATTTATTCCGCAAAGAGACGCGAGTACTTACCGATATGGGTGGATTATTTTATGCTGGCATTATGAAACCGCTACAGCCCCCGGATGTCTATGCGATCACATTGGATGGTGAGCGGGGCAATAAATCGCATATTATGTCCCGTGAGGAGATATTTAAGGATACGGTGAGTTATCGACATTTTGTTATTCTTTTTTATTTTGATTTTAAAATTTCGCAGACAGTTTTATTATCGAGAACATTTTATAAAGAAAATGTTATCGAAAACTTTTTCTTAGGAAAATGTAGTTATCGTTGGGGTTTTCTATAGAAAATATTGTTAACGATCGAATTTTCTTCAAAGAAATTTGTTATCGGTCGACTTTTCTTCAGACAAGTTTGTTATTATCGGTCGGTTTTTCTTTAGAAAATATTGTTATCGGTCGGCTTTACTTCAGAAAAGGTTGTCATCGAAGAAATTTTCTTTAGAAATATATGGTCTGTTCCAGAACCTGCAAGAATATAAAATTTTTTACTACAATAACATTTTTTCCTTTATGATATCGGAAAAAATAGTAAAAATTAGTAGATTCTTGCAGTACGGTAACATACCAATAATTATTGAAAATGTTGTTAACGATCAACTTTTGTATACAAAATGTGGTTATCGAAAAACTTTTGTATACAATGTGGCTATCGAAATACTTTTCTATTAAAAATATTGTTATCGAACAACTTTTCTATAGAAAACGTTGTTATCGATCAATTTTTCTATAGAAAACGTTGTTATCGATCAACTTTTCTATAGAAAACGTTGTTATCGAACAACTTTTCTATAGAAAACGTTGTTATCGAACAACTTTTCTATAGAAAACGTTGTTTTCGAACAACTTTTCTATGAAAAAAACATGTTATCGAACAACTTTTCTATAGAAAACGTTGTTATCGAACACGTTTTCTATAGAAAACGTTGTTATCGGACAACTTTTCTATAGAAAAGATTGTTATCGGACAACTTTTCTATAGAAAAGATTGTTATCGAACAACTTTTCTATAGAAAAGATCGTTATCGAACAACTTTTCTACAGAAGAGATTGATATCGAACAACTTTTCTCTAGAAAAGATTGTTATCGGACAACTTTTCTATAGAAAAGATAGTTATCGAACAAGTTTTCTAAAGAAAACGTTGTTATCGAACAAGTTTTCTATAGAAAACGTTGTTATCGAACAAGTTTTCTATAGAAAACGTTGTTATCGAACAAGTTTTCTATAGAAAACGTTGTTATCGAACAAGTTTTCTATAGAAAACGTTGTTATCGAACAGCTTTTCTATGGAAAACGTTGTTATCGAACAATTTTTTTTATAGAAAACGTTGTTATCGAACAACTTTTCTATAGAAAAAGTTGTTATCGAAAAACCTTTCTATTGAAAAGGTTGTTATCGACCTACTTGTGTATAAAAATGTTGTTATCGAAGAAATTTTCTGTAGAAAATGTTGTTATCGAACTTCTTTTCAATACTGAATGTCGTTATCGAAAATTATAAAAGTTGTATTCGATTATTTTTCAAATAAAAAAGGTAGCTAGATTTTTTCTCTATTGAACAGTTTTTTGCTATAGAAAGGGTTTTTATAGATAAACGTTGATATTGAACATATTTTTACAATTTATGGAATTCAAAAATTAATATTTTTTCCTCCTGCTTTTTATAGATTTTGGAAGTAGCACCCAAGACTGTCGATGATGTACCTGTGGGCACACGTCTCTGTGCCTATTGGAGTCAGCAATATCGTTGCCTGTATCCAGGACGGGCCATTGAAAGTGAGTCTTCCGATGATGATGTGACATCACAAGAATTTGTCAGTGTGGAATTTGATGATGGCGATAGCGGCAGGATCCGCTTGCAGAATATACGATATCTGCTCAGTGATTACCCCATTGTTGGTAAGTTCAAAAAGACCCCCGAAAAGTAAAATTTAAATTTTGAATTGCATGCCAGAAAGCCTTCCATTTAACTCTACACTTATCCCAAAATGAAATTTTTGAATGATTTCAAATAATCAATTGTTTTTCTAATAATAATCTCAAAACAAAAAGAGTTCAGGGGATATATTGACTTTGGACATAATAACAAATTTTGTATTCGTACTTAAATATTAAAAATTTCAATTTAAAATTTTGTGTTTCGATAAAGAAGAATTGCTGCTGGGGTATGCATTTCAGTTTTCTGTTGGATTTATTAGTTTTTTGTTGTGTCGAATTTAGTAAAACAAAACCGATCAAAATTCTTATGTTTTTATCTTTTTTTATTTCTTGTTTTTCTTTTATAATAATAAAAAAAATAACAAAACAACAACAAATACTCCTACTACTATCCTGTGACCTGTCTCCAAACCACCAACAAACAAAACCAAAAAATCTTCTACTGTTACTACAACTACTGCTCCTAATCCAACTACTACTCCTTCAATAAAAACAAATATATAACAAATTACACACACACCACCATCTATCAACAACAACAAAAACTACTACAACAACAACCACAACACATACAGAGTACAACGATAATCCCCTCTACTCTTTAGGCAAACAAAAGAAAGCCAATGCTAATAAAACCACAACCAATAATGATACAGATCACCATCAACGTCGTGATGCTGCTGCAGCCGCAGCCACCACCACCGGAGATAATCCCAACTCAATGGGTCGGGAAGATGATCATGGTCGAATAACTAGCAATGGATCCCATCGTGATTATCATCAAGCCACCGCCATGGAAATCTTTGCCGCCAAACGCAGTGAGAAGAAGCGAAACAAAAGTCTAAAAAAGAAAGCCCAACAGAGTGTGATCACGCTGGCGAATGGTAGTGTATCCACCACTACACTGACTTTGGCCGGAGGAGTTACGACATCCCTGTCCACAAATGGTTCCATGGAATCTGCCGACAGCTTGCGTAAACATCACAAACACAAGAAACGTAAGAAACACAAGAAGCATCGGAAAAATCTCATGGAAATTGGTATTGTTTCGGAAATGGAAAAGAAGTTCAGTACATCAGTAGCATCGTCTTCGTTCAGTAGTAAGAAAAGTGAACGCACAACAACAAAGGATGAAATCTCCTCCTCAAAACATCAGCAGCAGCGACATTCTACCCAACAACATATTCTCTCTGAGAACAATTACTCAAATGGCGGCAAACACAAGAAGGAGGAAATCGACGGAGCAGGAGACTATAAACATTATCAAAACAATACTCACACCGAACAATCTCAATTACCAGTATCGGCCACTCCAGAAGATGAAGAACAAGAAGACGACGATGATGATGACGAAGAAAATGCCGAGGAACAACAAGAGGAGCAGCAGGATGATGATGATGACGAGGATGAGGATGATAATATGAATCTATCACACATTAAACGTGAATCCACAAACAATCATCGACATCATCACCTCACCTCAACACCACATCATAGTGTCAAAGTAAAAACGGAACATTTAGAAATGGAAGAAGAAGAAAGTACTTCAAACTTAATGTCTGAAGTTTCGGATGAGGTAAGAAATTCCTTCCCTTTGATTAAATTTTGAATAATGTAACTGATTTTATTTTTCCTCAGGCTAAGGCTGATGACATGGTTGAACACAACAGCTCCAAGGGTAGCAAAATTGCCGCTTTCCTCCCTGATCGCCAGTTATGGGGCTGGCTGGGCACAGCCTATTGTAAATCTGGCAGCAAGGGTACAAAGGGCAGAATACGCAAGCAATTTTACAAGACAATTAAACGGGGAAAAGAAACAATAACTGTAAGTAAAACTATAAGAACATTATATACATTTATATTGATCCTATGTAATTGTAAATTGTCGGCCAGGAAGTTTTTTTATGCTCTGAGCAAGGTCTATATAATAGATCACCCAGTAAGGCTAGCTGATATCTAAATTTGTTGTCAAAATATATTGAATTCAAAAAATAACCATAGTTAGCTTTTACAAAGGCATCGACAGGGTTGTGTATTTCCTGAAATTCGCCTTCTGGATGTCCTGATATTTATAAATGTTTATGACAAAGTTTTTTGGCCCCCCAGAAACACAAAATTACTATTTAGAGTCACTTCGGTTGTAAAAATTTACTCATGTCATCATGCAAATTTACTCATGTAGCTGGACTTATACTTGGACCGGGTAAAAACTGGAGTAACGAATATCCCCCCCCCCCTTACTATGGCAGAATACGCCTATATGGGGACAAACCCAACACACAGAAAAATCAGCTAACTATTTTCATATAAAAAAGGGGGTTATATGGGGACTACCTCTAAAAGGGGGTGAATGTTAATAATTTTTGGTGGAGAGATTTGTTGCCAAAGAACCTCAAAATACCGAAAATATGGGAAAACCAGAAAAAATGAACCAATATTTAAAAAAATTTAGTGGTGAGATTTGCTATCCAATAAGAACACAAAGTACTAAATTACTGTCAATTCGGTCGAAAAATGCGATCAAAACCCCCAAAATACTGAAAATTTCGGGCACCGTTATATGGGGGCTACCAGAAATGGTGGACTGATATTTATAATTTTTAAAGGAGTAATTTGGTACCCAATAAGAACACAATGTACTAAATTTCAGCGAATTTGGTTGGAAAACGTGCTCAAGAACCCCAAAATACCGAAATTGGGGGTACTCATATATGGGAGCTATGCCTAAACAGGGGCCGTTATAGCCCATCTTCGAACTTGGCCTACCTGCATATAAAAGACGACTCTATGCACAATATTGGCGATCTACCTCAATTCGTTTAGGCGCTAGAGTGGTTACAACAGACAGACGGGCATGCTTAAATGGTCATAGAATCTCTTCGCTGATCAAGAACAAAAACAAAACTAAAATACCTTCCATAATATGGTGGAGGGTATAAAATATCCCCTTCTTTCGTGTCTCATGAATAGTACAACGGGATGTCTACTAGTGAATTCAATAGATGAAGGTTCTTCTGTTTGGGTGTTGCAGAAAACGGCACACAGGCCAGCACATTACAAAAGAGGAATTCAGATTGATAGCAGCAATCTGAAACCTCCGGTGGTTTTGTAACAACCAATATAAGCTATTTGATGCAAATTAATGTCGTGGTGTAACGACATCGACCACCCTCCACCATAAGGTGGAGTGTATATTAAATTTGTCATTCCCTTTGCAATAATTTGAAATTTTCATCGGAGAGTGAATATTTTCTTGATCAGAATAAAATTCGATGTCGATTTATGCATGTCTGTCTTTTGAAATCACGATAGAGCTCGCAATATTTAAGATAGAGCTCTGAAAATTTCCACATACAGTGTTACTACTATCGACCTATGTTTTGGTACAGCCAACATATGACGGTTCCCGTCAATAATTGGGAATTTTGGGGTTTTTGTCATGGATAACACCAGACTTTCATTAGAGATAATAGGGAGCTTAACGAACGAATTCAATGCAAGATTCGTAGTAAATTCTTTTTGATCAACTTAAGTCTTACGATGTTCTCAGACCATAGTGGCATACATCCTCATCCGTCAAGGAAGAATCATCCCAAATATATGTGGAAATGCCGGAATGAAAATGGTTTGTAACACCAGACTTTTATTAGGGATAATAGGGTGTGCATTTGGAAAAGAATGGTCCGAAGTAGGATCAGAGTTGGTCTACATTTCGTTGGGCAAATAGTGGTAACTAGCATATGCCGGCAACTTCGTTAGCGAGGGTGGGAATTATTTAAAAACCAATACCGACGAATACCGTATTTCCAAAAGTACCTATATATCTCAACTCTAATTCTGACCGCAACAGAAATCTAGCTCTATACTAAATTTGGCATCATTTATTGCCCTTTGTACTCTTGTAAAACTTATTTCGAAATAAATCCACATTTCAAACATAGATTCACCAAAATCCACATTTTTTACCCAATGTCAGCATTCCAGCTCTATCGGCATAGTAGACATTTCCAAAACATCCTACAAGGGGCAATCCAACGCCCCTACATTGATCCTAACTCCAAATTTCAATATTCCAGCTCTATCGGTTCACCTAACTGTAAATTTGGTACCATTTAATATACATTAGCATGATTTTCCACAATCGTTTTACATAGCCCAATCCTACACCCCAACAATGATCCTAACTTCAAATTTCAATATTCCAGCTATATCGGTTCACTCGAAATAAAATTTGGTACCATTTAGTACAAATTTCCAAAACTTCCTACATACCCCAATCCTACAGCCCAACAATGATCCAAACACCAAATTTCAGAATCCCAGCTCTATCAGTTCACCCAACATTCAAATTGTACCAACATTTAGTTCAATTTAGTACCCATAAGTATGAATTTCCAAAACTACATCCATACCCAAATCCAACACTCCAACAGTAACCCTATTTCCAAATTTCAGCTTTTCAGCTCTATCGGTTTATGTAAATCCGTATTTGGTACCATTTTGTACACATTAGTACGAATTTCCAAAACTTACTACAAATTCCAATCCAACAGTGGTCCTAACATCAAATTTCAAGATTCCAGCTCTATCGGTTTACCCAAAATCCAAATTTGGTACAATTTAGCACGCATTGGTACGAATTTCCAAAACATTTTGCATAGCCCAATCCTAAATTGTACCAAATTTAGTACAAGTAGTACGAATTTCCAAAAAATTTCTACAAATCCCAATACTGCACCACAACAGCAGTAATCCTAACGTAAAATTTCAAGATTCCAACTCAATCGGTTCACCCAAATTCACATTTGGTACCATTTAGTACAAATTTCCAAAACTTCCTACATCGGTTCACTCAAAATTTAAATTGTACCAAAAAGGGTCAAGGGGTCAAGGGTCCCCCATAAAGGGTCAATATTTTATACACTTGTAACAAACATCCATTTTATATAGTCTCCCTAGAATTGAATATTGAATTTTAATGTTGTTACTTCTATTAATTCTAATCCCGATTTTTCTATTCAAATTTTTTCAGGTTGGGGATTGTGCAGTATTTTTATCAACTGGACGACCGGATCGTCCCTATATTGGGCGTATCGAATCAATGTGGGAGAATTCATGCAATAATAAAATTGTGCGTGTACGCTGGTTTTATCATCCCGAAGAGACAACGGGATGTCCAAAATTGAAATTCCCAGTAAGTTTAAAAAGTCTCCTGCAATAAATGTTGTTCATTTTAATTAAATATATATTTTTTTATAGGGTGCTCTCTTCGAATCACCTCATGAAGATGAAAACGATGTACAAACAATATCACATCGCTGTGAAGTTTTACAATTTGCCCGTTATTTTAATAAGTTCGGGTCAGATTCAAAGCAATATCAATCGATATACGATAATAATGATACATATTATTTAGCCGGGTATTATAATCCAAGATTACAAGTCCTGAAATTACAAGATAATATTCCAACTCTAGAAGAGCAAATACAACAACAGCAACAGCTGCAATTGCAAAAGCAACAAATGCAAACGCAACTGCAACAACAACAAAGTAACATAACAACTGTTAATACTAATCACACAAATATTAACTAATTAAATTAATTATAATTAAAAAAAAAAACAACAAAAAAAAAAGCAACTGTAAAAGTAATCAGAAGAAATGATTTTATTAAAAAAAACAAAAAATTAAAACAGAGATAAAAATGATAAATTACATATTCTATATATATATATACAAGAAAAACAAATTATAATTATTATTATATACAAATTAAATTTAAACTATATGCAAAAAGGAAATATAATGTATATGTATACAACAACAAGATGATAATGCGATAAAATCACAACAACAAGTTTAACACACCATACTTACTAAAAAAAAAAACAACAACAACTTACTTCGATATATACTTATAAATATATATACAGATTTATATATACACACACACAAACATACATATTTTTAATGAGAACAAGAAAATCAGAAGACGTTTAATCTACTTTTACTTTCTATGTACAGTTTTTAAGGATATTAAAATACTTAGTGTTTTGTTTTTAAGCTATTTTTTTTTTCTTTTGTTAAATATTATATTATATATATATATACATACTCAAAACAAATGCAAACAACAAAAAACAATTAATTTGTGTTTTATTTTCTTTTTGTATTTTTATTGGTTAATTTATTATTGTTTCGAAAATTTTGGTTTTGATTTCAAATATTCGATATACTTATGAGAGAGGTTATGTTTTTCTTTCATAACAAATTAAATTAAATATAATCTCCAAAAATTAGAAAAATCTAAGCAAGACTTAGTGTTATTCGACACCAATATTCTTGAAGTAGACAATCAGTATTTCCGATTATATTGAATATTTAGAAATAATATTGAACCGAAAACATAAATGGTAAAACCATAGCAAGAAACCCCTAAAGGAATGAACCAAAATTAGGCGGGGCCAAATATATTAAACCCTACACCACTTTGAGTATTTGCGGAAATTTATTGCATAGTCCATAATATATTCAGCCTTATTCTGGATATTTGCTAGGGAGTGATCTCGATTGTGAACAATTTTCGCTTTCACATTCTCGCCTTATTCAGAATGAGTACATACTTACATAGCTGGCTTGTTACAGAACGGTTGTTCCATAAGCCGAGCTTAAAAAAGATTCCAAGCGCGTCGGCCTTGGTAGCGGCACGGGTAGCATCAGCGTCTTGTAAAGTGTGAGTTTGGTCTGGCGGGAGGGGGCTTTATTTCTAAACTGCTTACTTAGACCACAGTATCATCTCTTGGCCAATACTATCCTTCTCCGAATTTCAAAACTGATGTCATTCGTTTTGTTTATGGCGGTACCAAGGTATATAAAATCGTTGAATACCTCAAACCTGTAGTTCTCAAGTTCCACGGCTGGTCCGAGTCTAGTGGACGTATTGCGCGTTTATACCATCAGCTTGGTCTTCTCGCCGTTTACTGTCATACCCACTTTGGCAGACTCCTTCTCGATTTGTTCAAAGGTGGCTGTTACCGCTCTCAGTGTTCGACCAATTATGTCGATGTCATCGGCCTATGCGAGTAACATGTGTTGTTTGGTGTACAGAGTGTAATTTCTGTTCACTTTTGCCTCTCGTATGACCTTTTCCAGCAGGATGTTAAAAAGGTCACACGAGAAACTGTCACCTTGTCTGAATCCTCGTTCGGTATTAATGGGCTTCGATGGGTCCTTTCCCACTTAAACTACTGAACTTGTGCCAGTTAAAGTTATACTGCATAGCCGTATTAATTTTGTAGGAATGCCAAACGCATACATGGCTTTATACACCTCTGAACGGATAGGGCTGTCGAATGCGGCTTTATAGTCGACAAATAGGAGGAATGTGTCGATTCGTGGGTTTTTCCAGAATTTGGCTCAGAGTGAAAATCTGGTCAATGGTGGATTTGCCGGGTCAGAAGCCGCATTGGTTTTGGTCCAATAATTTACACAGTATGCTGGATAATAGCACTTTATATGCAATGGGAAGGAGACTTATACCTTTATAGTTGGCACATATCGTATTGTCTCATTTTTTGTGCACGGGACACAGGATGCTGAGGTTCCAATCATTGGGCATGTATTCTTCTAGCCAAATTGTACTAATCAGCTGGTGCTTGCTCCTTACCAGCATCTGACCCCCAGTATTGAATAGTTCGGCTTGTAACCCATCGGCACCTGCTGCTTTATTATTCTTCAGCAGATTGATTGCTATTCTGACTTCACACTCTATATCGTCATCTATTATTGGTTCTGGGGTATCCTCTTCACCGTTACTATTTGATACCAGAAGTTTTTTTAAAATGCTCCTTTCAGATCCTCAGCACGCTGTCTGTATCTGTCACCAGGTTTCTTTCGTCATCTCTACAGGAGGATGTGCCTACACCAAAACCTTCGGTTTGGTGTTTTACTCGTTGGTAAAAATGTCGGACTTCGTTCTGACTCCTGTACATCTCGATTTGCTCACGCTCACGTTTTTCTTGTTCTTTTTTCTGAAAATATGTTTTTCCTCTCTCCTTTTCTCCCGATAGTTCTCCATCGTATTACGTGTTGCTACCGTCCCCAGGGTTGCCCTATACGCAGCGTTTTTCATATCAGTAGCATTACGAAACTCCTGATCGTACCACGGATTTCTTGATGGTGGTCTTTGGTACCCAAGTGTTGATTTTGATGCAGTTTGTAGGGAGTGGGCAATTCTCTGCCACTGAGCTTCTATATTATTATCGGGACAAGGGGTGCTTTCGTCAAGAAGATGGGTAAGTTGAGCGGAGTATGCTTCTGCTATCTGTTGTGTTTGGAGTTTTTCGACGTCAAATTTCCGTGCTACATTAGATCGCACCTTTGCTGCTACATTCAGACGGGTGCGTACCTTGGCTGTCACAAGGTAATGGTCGGAATCGATATTCGCTCCTCGGATCGATCGGACACAACATGATCGATTTGATTTCTCGTGGTTCGATCGGGAGAAATCCAAGTGGCCTTGTGTATATCGAGATGCTTGAATCTGATGCTGTTAACTACCATGATTTTTTTTTTTGCTGCCGCGAAGTCATGCCGTTGTCTGATGTTTCTTCATGGAGACGGGTAGGGCCAAAGATATTTTCCCTTCCGATTTTCCCTAGGCGCTCGTAAAATATATCTTTGGACGTAATCTACATGACGTAATCATCTGATTTACTTACGCCAGTCCCTTTCCATCGCATTTCCTGTAAGGCAATAATATCGGCATTGTACTGCTTGAGTACATCCGCCAAATCGAACACTGCGCCTGTTCTGTACAACGAGCGCACATTTCAAGTGCAGATTCGCAGATCGTGGTCCTTTATACGTCTGCGGGGGTCGTCAACGTTAGGTGGGTTTGGTTTTCTTTTTCTTTGCTTTTTCATAGTAGGTTCGGTTTTCCGAGTGTGTGCAACTAACCCGACGCCTCAACCCATTTATTATTTCACTATATAATTTTGTGCCTTTTTATTTAATTTCGATATTTTATTTCCCAAAATTCTTAAAGTTGCCAATTATTTTATCATAGGAGAACTTATATTTTCATAGGAGAACTTATATTTATGTCGAACTGTAAATTAAAGATCGAAATTTATTATTTATTTTATTTTTCGATATAAGAAGAAGGCTGAAGATCTATTTCTTTTGATATCGAAAAGATGTATATTGGAAGACATGTCGTATTTGAGGATAATCTATTTATTACTATTTTTTAAAATACATAATTACATTAACATTTATTTTGTATATATTGCAATAGGCAGATTCAGTAGAGATGAGTGTTTTTGTTTTTATATAACAAAATAGTTCTATAAAAATATTATTATATATAAAATAAAAAATTTATTATGTAAAATAAATGCTAATTAAAAAAACTTTTTTATTTACAAATTTTTACATACGTTGCAGTATATTTTATAAAATATTAATGTAAAATACAAATATATATAAAATAAAAAATATATTTTTTTATTATTATTAGTAGTAGTAGAGATTGTAATTAAAACAAATAATACTATATACAAAAGGCAAATATATTTTTTTCTTATTAAAAAGCAAATAATAATATATTAAATATTATAAACAAATAATAAAAAGAGATTGTCCTGAATAATTGTTCGTATAGAAAATATATTACAACTCCTTGTTAAAACTGAAATTTTCTTAAGGAGTTTGATAAAGAGGCCATTGTTTTTTGTACAGAATTAATAAGAAATCTAATAGCGAAAATATGATGTTCAAATTTTGAAATCTTCATTTTGGAATTTAATGGACCACTACAGAATTCGTTTGGTATTGCTAAAGGAAGATATCCAAAAATCATCATATTTTCGTTTGCCGAAGAACCAGTCCAGTTTTATTTCCAAGTTAAAATTACACACACACCCTTTTTTCGGAGAGAGAATGAAAAAGAGCTGTTTTCAAAATTTAACTAATACAACATTTTTTGCTATAACCAGAAAGAGAGAGAGAGAAAGAAAAGAACTGCTTTTTGAAAAAAGTTGAAAAAAATATTTTTTTAGAAAAGAAAATGTAAATATGTAGTATGTACTCGTTTGCAACTAAATACCGATTTGTAAAAGCTAAATGTATAGTAACAGTAAATATATAGCAAATAGGAATGATGAAAAAAAAAAACAATGGCCCACAAATATTATGGAAATCAAACTCAACACAATGCAAGGCTAAACATTTTTTTAAATTCTTATAGTAGAAAATAATATACAAAAGATACAATATTTTATTAAAACTGTAATAAAAAATCGTATAAACGAAACATTATAGACGGCTGGGCCGTTCAAGTAATACCCTACACCATTTATGAACTGTGTTGTAAGGAACGAAATTCATGAGGTCCTCCGTGGTGTAAAGGCCGGAATTCACTGGAACTGTTCTTCAGACAGAAAATCTTTTGGAGGTAATCTAGTCTCCTAAAAATAATTTTTTTTTGTTTAAAAAAATCGTAAAATTTTATTTCGAAAAAAATTGAAATATTTTTTTTAAATATTTTTTTATTTATAGGAATAAATTGTAAATATTTTTTTATATGAAAAAA